TATCTTCTTCTTCGCACAGGCTTGGGTCGGATACGACGCGCCTCTAGCACATGAATTCAGGTGAAACTAAAAGCTGTCCAGCTGTGCCTGTGCTCAAAATGAGGCCAGGCCAACGGCTGAGCTGACCAATCCCCCAGCTTTTAGCCACGAGGTCACAGGCTCGAGGCAGCGGAGCGCCGGCGCAGGGGCCGCGATCCGGATCGGGCTAGTCGAGGACGTTTGAATTGCCGCGGAGAGTACCTCGACGGAAGCTTCCAGCCAGGCCACATGCTTGTCAGCGGCTGCAAGGGGAACACTGCAGTCAAACGGATAGACGAAGCAAGGCAGTGGGGGAGCTTCAATGGTGAAAGAAGCAGGAATCCCACTGGATGCGAGAGGAAGGGAAAGCCCAGAAAGAGGGGGAAGAGGTGTGAAGAAATCCAAGTGCGTGGGTCGCGTTTTGGGCCGTTGGAAGGTGTCACAGCACACTTCAGGGTCGAGTAACAAAAGCATGTTGCCGGCCACATCTTCCGCATATGGTTGTGCAGAGGGGTGAGTGCGCCACGCCTTGACTGTGCATCTCAGATGCTCGATCGGAGCTATAAAGTCCTGGATGACAGCCCACGCCTGCGTGTCATCAGACTCGTCAAGGTCCAGCAAGGCCGCAAGAAGGGCTGGGTGGCAACCATCAGGAGACACACCTTCTGTGGACCGGGAAGCCTCGCTGAGTCCGGGTAGCTGAAGTGGGGGTGCTGCTGGATGCAGGGGATGTTTGGGCAGCGGCCCAGAGGGATGGAAGGTACCCCAATGCTCTTGGCAAGCTGGTGTGACAAACACGTGCCGCTTCATGCGGCCAGAATTGGCAAAAAGTTTGCCGCATCCACTGCACCAAGACTGGTCAACACCCCGTGTCACTTCAGTAGCTCGGGTCCGATATCCATGCAAGCGGCTGGCGTGGCACGCCCAGGAAACCCTGTCCACAAAGGCCTTCCGACACGGGAGACACGCTTCAGCAAACCTTATGCCTTGTTCAGGCTCCGGGCGTTCGTCTGGGCAGAAGTGGGCCAGACAGCGTCTGCAAGATTGCAAGGCAACAAAAGCACGAAGACGCAAAGCCTCCAGCGAGGCAGCACGCTTGATCCAGCCTCGGAAACGCCCCGGCGCCTCAGTCATCACCCGGCACCACTCATCCCAGAACAAGAGGGGATCTTGCAGGGGCACGGTGGCAGAGAGCCGGCGGTAAAGCCATTGCATGGCATCGCGCAACTCCTTGAGATACAGGGTGTCCTGTCGTATCAAAGCCCACAGAGCGTTGGGTGCTGCTTGCGACAAATTGGCGAAGATAACGAAGCCTTTCCACCCGAAGCAAGGTTTGCGGGTCAGCCAGGCCAAGGAGTGCGCAGGCCATTGCGCCTGAGATGTGTTGATCCTCTCCTTTGGGCACACACAAGGTCTGTCTGTACAAAGACATGACAGTGCGTTGGAAAAGCAAGGATTCTCCCCGGTTCAGGCTGGGCCAGGCGCCTGCACCGAAGAGAAGCCTGGGCATAACCATAGTGTGCAAAAGAGTGCCTCGCCTCGCGACAGTGATGCGGCGGCACCGATAAGCACGAAGTTTGCCTTGCCGAAATGCCGCCCAGGCAGACGCACACCGGGCGCGAAGCTCCGACAGAAACGACGACCCCACTAGTACCCCTAGGTGCTTGTAACTAGTGACGAGAGGCAAAGCTGCCGGTGTTTCCGTTTCCCGGAGTACGGGCAGGGTACCATTGCCCTGAAAGAGGGCACGCTTGGCAGCTCGCGAACCTTCCCCAACCAAGAGTACCTGTGCCGCAGTTTTGGATGGCCCATAGGTGAGGCGGTAGCCTTGGGACGCAAAGGCCTCGTCGAGGAAGGAGGCCTCGAGGGAAACCTGATGAGCTGCTCGCTGTGAGGCGGAGAGCATAAAACACTCCGCCAGGTCATCTGCCCAAATGATGTCACTCAGTGGCTCCACAGAAGTTGGGGCTTGCGGAGGGGATAGGTCTCGTTGACCATCCCAAGGGACTTGTGGGATGTGACAAGCGGCTGGTGACTGAGCTCGCAAGGCATCGCGGGTTGCGATGATCTGTGCAACACCGGAGCTATACATGAGGTCGGCCAGAGACGACCCTGGCCTTGACCCTCGCCTCGTTACCACCGGTACGTGATCGCCTCGCAGAGAAAACCATGACCCACGATGGAATTCCGCGGCCAAAGATTCCAACCACGCATTCGCCCCACTTGCCTCAAAAGCACTAGGGCCTCGCAGAGCTTCGACTAGGCCCTCATGGGGCTCAGTGTCATCGGGCAAGATGTGGGTGGTGACTGGCCGTCCCTGGTTGTCAAGGCGTCGGGCCGTCAAATCCCGAATGGAATTATAATAGGCAGATGCAACATCCGCAAAGAGGACACAGGCAGGCTTCTGGCACGCCGCCGCCCAACGGCAGAAGAGGCGGATCGCATGGCTTCCAAAGACCGCAGAGGCCCCTTTGCGGCCCCCTAGAAGGAGGGGAGGCGCATGGTTGAGCACATGTTCGTATATGCGCGGTCGGTACGCCCGGTGTACCACTTTGGTAAGGGTTGGGAGTAACATAATTGCACGATATGACGAGCAGGTGTTCTTGGCGCCACGGTGTTTGCAAAGCCAGGTAAGAAGTGCACTCTTCAATCCGGCGGCTTCTTCGCCGAGGAGCCCCAACTTTAGAACCAGGGGCATCACCAAAGGGGCGATATGCGAGGGCACAGTCTTGAACAGCTCACCTGGAACGCCATCGGGCCCACAGGCTTTATGGCTTTTGATGCGAAGCCATGGCCCGGCAGACTTCGCTGGGACCCGGGAGAGACGAGGCATCTGGAGGAGCCGGCCAAGAGAAATCGTGTCCAATGGCCACTTCCGCGAAAACATCTGCCGGGGCCAGCTCAATTCCAGCCTCCATTTCCCCGAAATAACCTCGCCATCTCTTCAGGACATCGTCAGGCGTGGGACAAGGGTTCCCATCCCGATCCAGGATCTCAGGGAGCACGTCGGGGGTGAAGGGCTTCTTTTGCTTGAGTCCTAAGAGTCTGTTGAGCGCCTGATGGGAGCCTGGCTGGTTGGATTGGACCTCGTCAGCGAGATCGGAGAGATACTGAGCTCGGTCCTGCCGGCACGCCTTGCGAAGGCGTTGGGACAGAACCCTGAGCTTCTCAGATTGCACCTGACCCCACGACGCAGCGTTGGAGGCCCAAGGTGAAAAGATAGCGCTGTGCAGGATGTCAGCATCTCTGGACGCCCAGGCTTGGAAGGCTGCAGCAAGCAAATGTGAGCAGCATTGTTTGCGAAGGCGTGCACAGCGCTTCCTCAGAGCGGCAACCTGTCCGTGTAGTTCCCAGGTGTCAGCCGAGATGTATGTTTGCCGTGGCTGGCCTTTCGAAGCGGCAAAGGCTCCAGCGAGCTCTTTCTGCAGGTACCCCACAAGCAGAGCGGCATGGGCGTCAGCTGAAACCTCCCACGGTATCCGAGGTGCTGCAGCAAGGATCGCAGCAAGCTTAGGCTGGTTGGCCGGGTCGGCCAGCGCCTGTGCATTAATGCGGGCGGACTTGGGTCGACTACCGCCCCCGCTGACCTTCACCCATGCTCTGACGCGTACGACTCCCGCCAAGTGATCGATGTAGTGCTGTCCTACATGCAAACTCGGATCGACCCAGGAGCTGACTTGGGCTTCCCTCCAGCAGTCGGGCAGACAGATCATGTCGGGACGAGTGAGCGCTTGGTTGCGTTTTTGGATGTAAGTCCAACATTGCCCGGCATGGCATTGATCCCATGTAGCCGGGATCCAGGCATGGCAGACGTCAATAAGTTCATGAAGGAAAGCTCCTGCCTCGTCCTGTTCCTCAGGGCCGCAGTCACCAATACGCTCTGAGCAAACCGAGCCAACAGAGGCGTTGAAATCCCCCCCAAGGATGACGGGTGCTTGGGCGGAAGCTTTCTTGATTAAAGCTAGAGTCTGGCTCCACCATGAGCTGAGCTGGTTGGCTTCGGTGGCACGGTGTGGCGCATGCAAGGACGCGAAACAGAAGCGTACGGAGCCTGAGCTGAAAGTCAGGATCAGCCTCCGTGGGTCTCGGTGCACGGTGGTAAATGCTTCCTTGTGGAAAGCCACCTTGGCGACTCCGTGGGCTGGAGCCGGGATGATGGCGTGACCTTCTAAGAACCAAAGTTCCACGCCAAGACAGCCACCGTCGTGCCCTGAAGAGAAGCGCAGAAAATCGGCTGTGCGTAGAAAGCCAGTTTCCGTGCGCGCTTCCTGAACAGCAAGTGCATGAATGCCTGCTTCGGAGAGGCAGCGTGCCAACATCGCTGGTCTGCCGGCTGCAAACGCCAGACCCCCGGGCTGACGGTCAGCAAAGGCCTTGCCGCAAAGGGAGAGGACATTGTACGTGGCGAAGCAGAGATGTAGATCACTGGCGTGCCCCTCATTTGGGAGAGTGGGGCGGAAGGGGGCGAGCATTTGCACTGGGGTAAGGCCGCAGTGGGTGCGCAGGGGGTGCGCAGTGTGCGCGCAATCCGTGCGCACAGGGTGCGCAGATTGCGCGAGATGTGCCGAAGAAATGTTGCAAGTGATAGTGGGCGCAGTGGCGCATTGCACCGGGGGAAGTGTTTGATCGCCCATAATGCTCCGCATAGCAAGCCCACACCACTCAACCTTGTGGGCTTGACGGGACCACCAGTCGACGGAACCAGCGCCATCACTGGACCAGACAAGCGTGCCAACGGCACTGTCTTTTGCTGCGAGCTTGGCAGCCGCATCAGCGACTTCGTTGCCAAAGTGTCCCTTGTGTCCAGGGATATAGCAAAAGGACTGGGGCATCCCTAGGAATGCCTCGGCACACGAGGCGGTACGCCGCAGCACAAGAGCAACATCGTTGGCGAAAGAGGCGGCTTTCCCTGACGCAACTTGAATGGCTGCTTGGCAATCGGAAAGGTACAGGATTTGCCTGCAGAAGAAAGCAGTGCTACCGATCCAAATTGCGGCTGTCATGGCGATGCACTCAGCGACAAAAGCTGATGCTGAGACATCTGAGCAGGCAAACCAGCGGGGTCCAGAGCCTGAAACGATGCTGATGCTGTTCTTCTCCGGATCAAGGTAGACACAAGCCCACCCAAGCAGAGCGCTGCGACCATTGGCCGCTGGCGTGTAAGAGCCATCGACAAAGCAAAGCAAGGGCGAGGCCCGGGCAGCAGCTGGGAAGGTACTACACAATGACTGGGCCACACTCGTCGGCAAACGGCCTAAAAGGTTACCGAAATCACCGAAACGTACCTGTGGCTGCAGAAACAAGGCGGCTTGATGCATAGTGAACCCCAAGTCTGGCCCCCCGAGCAGCAAAGTAGCATGCATGGAGGAGTGGGTCTTGGGAATGGTAGACTGTGGCCACGGAGCAGGGTGAACAAGCGGCACTGCGCTGCGATCAACCGGCAAAGCTGCGGCAAGGGAGAGCTTCACTGGGCAAAGCTTGTCATGAGCAATACAATGGTGCTCAAAAACCGCTTCCAAGAGAGTGGCAGCGAGATAAAGTGGATAGTCGTCACTTGATCGCCTGCTGTCCTCCAGCAGAGTGGATAGGACACCCAAATGCATTAGCTCGGTGTCAGCGACAGGCGCCTGTGCGCCTGTGGAGATGAAGCAATCTCTCAGCGTCAGGGGGCTAGTTGCCGGGGAATCGGCAGAGATGGGGGGGTGCGGGGCCTGCACAGGTGGAAGGGCCAAAGCTCTGGCGGGTGTTGGCAAAGGTCTGCTGAGGACTCCGGGGGTCTCGCAGAGTGCCTCTCCCGGCAGCAAAGTGGCTGGCAAGTGGCTTCCATGGTAGCCCGGAATCCCACACCCAGGTGCAAAACATCCAGATGAGGAGACTCCATCAGCACTATGCAGCTGCGCCGCAACAAAAAGGAGCGCAAGTCGCCAAGCTTGAGGCTGAAACGGCATGGCTATGGCCCGCAAAAGGAAGCCCAGAAGACTGAAGAGGAGAGCCTCTCCATCAAGGAGGCTCACGAGAGCCTGGTGACGTGCTTGCGCCTCGGCCGGTGACGAAGAGCAAGAGCTGCCTGTGCCGGCGTCAGGACTCGCAGGTCCCTCAGGGGTTTGTGGTGTAACTCCCGGTCGGCCTTCATCCCGCCCTCGGCCCCCTGACTGGTCGTCACCAGGTTGATCGAATCCGTCATCTGGTGGGTCAGGGGCTAAAGGCTGTGGCACGCGTTCGGGCGCGTATGCAGCTGTGAAAACTTCGCCGTCTTGAACTGAAAGGGCAGACCCTGGGGTTTCAATCAAGTGGGCGCCCTGCCAGATAATAGGTCGGAACCCCTGGGGGCACCTGGCACAGACACGAGCAAACAAACCTGGAAGGTCAAAATAACCACCGTGGCAAGTCACAACAGAGAGCCCCCGAAGGATGGGCCGAAGATCCACAAAGCAGAAGGGGTCTCTGGTGGCCGTGTAGTGCTGACCACCAAGAGTTCTGGCAGCATAGAGAACGCTGCACGTAACCCAGCCTCGATTAGAGAAGTCGTGAATGCGCGGCTGGGGTGGCCGCAGGATCAACTCATCAACTGGGATTCTCATCCGGAACGCAAGATCGTGACGAACATACCTCCGCCTTGCACTTGTCACATGGAGAAGGAAATGTCGATCATCGTTCACAATCCATGTGTCGTCAAGATTCCAGCCAGAAAAGGCCCTGATGAAGCGTGGGTCGGGATGCCAGCCATGGGCTGAGCGCAGCATGTCCTGGAAAGAGGCCACAATGGAGTGCCCTCTTCCTGCAAAAACAAACTGTATCAGGTCACCGTACCTAAGGGGGTCATCTGGGAGTTCAGCGGCTTGGAAGAGGCCAACGCGGGTAGCACGACGGCCGATGTTGAGGGCGAAGATTCGACCATCGATGCTCGTTAGGTCAAATGCAGCGATTGCCCCGTCAGGAGCCCAAGTTGGCAAAGCTAACAGGACAGCCTGTGAACCCAAAGGCTGTGGCTCGGCGGCACACAGAATGGGGAACCGATCGCGATCCCGACCTAACCTTGCCTGGGAGACATAAAGAAGTGCCACAGCAGGTTGCGTGTCCAGTGGAACCCTGGCTTCGATCAGTTCAGTGGTGTAGTCCTGGCTCAAGATCAGGAAAACACCAGGCAAGGTAGGGCGCGTGGCGGCTGCACTTTCAGGTGGGGGGCCGTCGCCCCTTGTGCCGTCTTGATCACGAGGTGGGTCATCGTCTCCTCCCGGGCGGCTCGGCCCGTCGGTGCTGGCGACAGGAGGTGGGGTGCCAGCCGCCGTGGAAGAAGAACCTTGCTCCACAGCACCCGGGGCATCAGGGTCACCTTCAGCAGCGTCAGACGGCGCAGAGGTAGGCACATAGTCGACAACGACAACAGTTTTCATGGCAAAGGTGGGCTTACCATCGGGTTCGAAGTCACTGCTGAAGCGAGGCATCCAACCGTGGGGGGCGTTCGCCTGGAAAATGCGGAGCAGGCCTGAGATGTCCGGCTC